ATTCTGGAATGTTCTGGGTCGTGGGAGGGTCTGGAATGTTCTGGGGGGTCCTGGGGGGGTTCTGGAATGTTCTGGATGGTTCTGAAGGTGTTCTGGGGTGTCCTGGGAGGCCCCTGGGAGGGTCCTGGAAGGGTTTCCAGAATGTTCTGGGTCCTGGGTGGGTCCAGGAAGGGTCCTGGGAGCATTCTGGAATGTTCTGGGGGATCCTGGGACAGGGTTCCAGAATGTTCTGGGTCCTGGAAGAGCCCCAGAAGAGTCCTGGGAGAGTCCTGGAAGGGTTCTGGGGGTCCTGGGAGGGTCCTGAAAGGGTTCTGGGGTGTTCTGGGAGGGTCCTGGAAGGGTTCTGGGGTGTTCTGGGAGGGTCCTGGAAGGGTTCTGGGGTGTTCTGGGAGGGTCCTGGAAGGGTTCTGGGGACAGCTGGGACATTGTGGAATGAGGGTGGGAAAAGCCTCGCGGGGCAGCAGCTCCAGCCCTCACCCCGGCCCGGGGCAGCGATTCCCACCCTCCCGGGGCGCTCCCAAAGGAGGGAATTCCTCCCTGGAATGTCCAGCCAGGTGGAGTCTGGGGCTGTCCCTGGGAGCAGAGCCCGGCCCCGTCTCCTGTCAGGGGAAATTCCCTCCAAGCTCCTTTTCCCTGGGCTCCCTGGGGAGTTTTCCAGAAGCTTCTCCAGCCCCGTTGCCAGCACTGCTGACCCCGGCTCCTCCCTGCAGGCGCGGGATCCACGACATGTTCCCTCTGCACCTGGCCGTGCTCTTCGGCTTCTCCGACTGCTGCCGCAAGCTGCTTTCCTCAGGTGGGACATGCCTGCACGGCCAGGGGCTTGGGGACACCAGAGTGACCCTTGGGGACACCAGAGTGACCCTTGGGGACACCAGAGTGAACCCTGGGGACACTGAGGTGACCCTTGGGGACACCAGAGTGAACCCTGGGGACACTGAGGTGACCCTTGGGGACACCAGAGTGAACCCTGGGGACACCAGAGTGACCCTTGGGGACACTGAGGTGACCCTTGGGGACACCAGAGTGTACCCTGGGGACACCAGAGTGACCCTTGGGGACACTGAGGTGACCCTTGGGGACACCAAAGTGAACCCTGGGGACACCAGAGTGAACCCTGGGGACACTGAGGTGACCCTTGGGGACACCAGAGTGAACTCTGGGGACACCTTGGTGATCCTGGGGACACCAAAGTGACCCTTGGGGACACTGAGGTAACCCTGGGGACTGGTGGTGACCCTGAGGATACCAATGTGACCCTGGGGACACCTGGGTGACCCTTGGGGACACCTGGGTGACCCTTGGGGACACTCGGTGACCCTTGGGGACAGCTGTGTGACCCTGGGGACACCTTGGTGACCCTTGGGGACCCACGGTGACCCCTGGGGACAGCCGTGTGGCCCTGGGGACACTCGGTGACACGGGCTGTACCCCAGGCCAGCTGTACAGCATCGTGTCGTCGCTGAGCAACGAGCACGTGCTCTCGGCCGGCTTCGACATCAACACCCCCGACTGCCTGGGCAGGACCTGCCTGCACGCCGCCGCCTCCGGAGGGTGGGGACACGGGGACACGGGGACATGGGGACAGCTGGGGACACTGGGGACACGGGGACAGCTGGGGACACGGGGACAGCTGGGGACACGGGGACAGCTGGGGGCACTGGGACAGCTGGGGACAGCTGGGGACACTGGGGACACTGGGGACACCGAGACAGCTGGGGACACTGGGGACATGGGGACACTGGGACAGCTGGGGAGATGGGGACAGCTGGGGACACTGGGGACATGGGGACAGCTGGGGACATTGGGACACCAGGGACACTGGGACAGCTGGGGACAGCTGGGGACATGGGGACACTGGGGACACAGGGACATCTGGGAACAGCTGTGACATCTGGGGACATGAGGACACCTGGGACATGGGGACAGTGCTCTGAGGGAGGGCATGGACCTGCTGGGAGCAGGGATGGACACCTGGGTCCTGGAAAGGTCCTGGAAGGGTCCTGCAGGTCCTGGAAGGGCTCTGGGGGAAACACTCCTGGGAGGGACACTCTGGGTACCTGGGTGACATTTTTGGGTACCTGGGTGGCATTTTTGGGTGCCTGGGTGACACTTTGGGTGCCTGGGTGACATTTTTGGGTACCTGGGTGATGTTTCTGGGTACCTGGGTGACATTTTTGGGTACCTGGGTGACACTTTGGGTGCCTGGGTGACATTTTTGGGTGCCTGGGTGACGTTTCTGGGTACCTGGGTGACATTTTTGGGTGCCTGGGTGACACTTTGGGTACCTGGGTGACATTTTTGGGTGCCTGGGTGACATTTTTGGGTACCTGGGTGACATTTCTGGGTACCTGGGTGACATTTCTGGGTGCCTGGGTGACACTTTGGGTGCCTGGGTGACATTTTTGGGTACCTGGGTGACATTTTTGGGTACCTGGGTGACACTTTGAGTGCCTGGGTGACACTTTGAGTGCCTGGGTGACATTTCTGGGTGGCTGGGTGACATTTCTGGGTGGCTGACCCCTGTCCCCTCCTGCAGGAACGTCGAATGTCTCAATTTGCTGTTGAGCAGCGGCGCTGACCTGAGGAGGAGGGATAAATTCGGGAGGTGAGCGGCTCCTGGGCCGGGACATTCCCACATCCCCGAAATCCTGGGGGCAGGAAAACCCCAGAGCCGCCCTGGGCCGGGGGCTCTGAACTCCTGCTGGGTCCTGGAAGGGTTCCCAAAGTGTCCTGCTGGGTCCTGGAAGGGTTCTGGGGTGTCCTGCTGGGTCCTGGAAGGGTTCTGGGGTGTCCTGCTGGGTCCTGGAAGGGTTCTGGGGTGTCCTGCTGGGTCCTGGAAGGGTTCCCAAAGTGTCCTGCTGGGTCCTGGAAGGGTTCTGGGGTGTCCTGCTGGGTCCTGGAAGGGTTCTGATGTGTCCTGCTGGGTCCTGGAAGGGTTCTGGGGTGTTCTGGGAGGGTCCTAGAGGGGTTTCCAAAGTGTCCTGGGCTTCTGCTGGGTCCGGGAAGGGTTCTGGGGTGTCCTGGGAGGGTCCTAGAAGGGTTCCCAAAGTGTCCTGGGCTTCTGCTGGGTCCTGGAAGGGTTTCTAGGATGTTCTGGGAAGGTCCTGGAAGGGTTCCTGAGGTGTTCTGGGTCCTGGAAGGGTTTGAGGGTGTCCTGGGAGGGTCCTGGAATGGTTTAAAGGTGTCCTGGGAAGGTCCTGGAAGGGTTTCTGGGATGTTCTGGGTCCTGGAAGGGTTGCTGGGGTGTCCTGGGCTCCAGCAGGTCCTGGAAGGTGAGTTTGGCAGGCCCTGCTGAGCCCGTGTGTCCCCTCTGTGTCCCCAGGACCCCCCTGCACTACGCGGCCGCCAACGGCAGCTACCAGTGCACGGTGACACTGGTGACAGCCGGGGCCAGCGCCAACGAGGCCGACGGCAAAGGCTGCACCCCCCTGCACTACGCGGCCGCCTCCGACACCTACAGGAGGTGGGCAGGGGTGGCACCGGGGGCATTGTCACCAGCTCCAGGTGGCACCAGGGGTGGCACCGGGGGCATTGTCACCAGCCCCAGGTGGCATCGGGGGTGGCACTGTGGGCATTGTCACCAGCCCCAGGTGGCACCAGGGGTGGCACTGGGGGTGTTACTGGGGGCATTGTCACCAGCCCCAAGTGGCACTGGGGGTGGCACTGGGGGTGGCACCACACCTGTCACTGGGGGGTGGCACTGTGGGTGTTGTCACCAGCCCCCGGTGGCACTGGTGGCACTGGGGATGTCCCCATGGGAATTGTCACCAGCCCCAGGTGGCACTGGGAGTGTCCCCATGGATGCTGTCCCCAGTGGCCCTGTTGTCCCTGCTGTCCCTGTTGTCCCCATTGTCTCCATTGTCATCAGTGTCACTGGTGCTGTCTCTGGTGCTGTCTCTGCTGTCCCCACTGTCCCCACTGTCCCCATTGTCCCCATTTTCACCGGTGTCCCTTGTGCTGTCCCTGGTGCTGTCCCCCCTGTCCCCATTGTCACCGGTGTCCCCGATGCTGTCCCCATTGTCACCGGTGTCCCCATTGTCCCCATTGTCACCGGTGTCCCCAGTGGTGTCCCCATTGTCACCGGTGTCCCCGGTGCCGTCCCCGTTGTCACCGGTGTCCCCATTGTCACTGGTGTTCCCATTGTCCCCATTGTCACCGGTGTCCCCATTGTCACCGGTGTCCCCATTGTCACCGGTGTCCCCATTGTCCCCATTGTCACCGGTGTCCCCGGTGCCGTTGCAGAGCAGAGACTCATTCGGGAGCCAGCGACGAGGAGCCCCTGAAGGAGTCCAGGCTGAAGGAGGCGTTTTTGTGAGTGCTTTGGGTGGGAACTTCCCGGGAATTCCCTGGGAATTAACTGGGAATTAACTGGGAATTAACTGGGAATTAACTGGGAATTTTCTGGGAATTTACTGGGAATTTGATGGGAATTAAATGAGAATTTGATGGGAATTAAATGAGAATTTAGTGGGAATTTTGCCAGAAGCTTGCTAGGAATTTACTGGTGGGAATTAAATGAGAATTTGATGGGAATTAAATGAGAATTTAGTGGGAATTTTGCCAGAAGCTTGCTAGGAATTTACTGGTATTTTCTGGGAATTTGATGGGAATTTGATGGGAATTTGATGGGAATTTACTGGGAATTTGATGGGAATATTGCTAGGAATTTTACTGGGAATTTGGTAGGAATTTACTGGGAATTTTACTGGGAATTTGGTAGGAATTTACTGGGAATTTTACTGGGAATTTGCTGGCAGTTTTACTGGGATTTTACTAGGAATTTGCTGGGAATTTGCTGGCAGTTTTGCTGGGAATTTGCTGTGAATTAACAATGAATTTTGCTGGGAATTTCCTGGAAATTCATTGGGAATTTCCCAGGAATTTCCTGGGAATTCCTCTCTCTGGATCCTCAGCAAGAGGAACCATCTGCCGCCGTTCCGGGCCGAGCCCGCCCCTCATTCCATCTGGGAGATTCCAGCGCCTGCTGCGGGGTTTTGGGGCTTTCCCTACGTTTTCCTGCCCTTTTCCTTCATTTTTTTCCCCCTGTGTCCCGTTGCAGCTGTTTGGAATTCCTGCTGGATAACGGTGCTGACCCTTCCCTGCGGGACAAGCAGGGCTACACCGCCGTCCACTACGCGGCCGCCTACGGCAACAGGCAGAACCTGGAGCTGGTGAGCGGCTCCGGGGGCTGGGGGAGAGGGAAATCCACTGGGAAAGAGGGAAAATCCCCCTGGAGAGAGGGAAAATCCACTGGGAGAGAGGGAAAATCCAATGGGAGAGAGGGAGAATCCCCCTGGAGAGAGGGAAAATCCAATGGGAGAGAGGGAAAATCCACTGGGAAAGAGGGAAAATCCACTGGGAGAGAGGGAAAATCCACTGGGAATGAGGGAAAATCCCCCTGGAGAGAGGGAAAATCCCCCTGGAGAGAGGGAAAATCCTCCAGGAGAGAGGGAAAATCCCCTGGGAGAGAAGGAAAATCCCCCAGGAAAGAGGGAAAATCCAATGGGAGAGAGGGAAAATCCCCCTGGAGAGAGGGAAAATCCCCCTGGAGAGAGGGAAAATCCAGTGGGAGAGAGGGAAAATCCAATGGGAGAGAGGGAAAATCCACTGGGAGAGAGGGAAAATCCACTGGGAGAGAGAGAAAATCCCCCTGGAGAGAGAGAAAATCCACTGGGAGAGAGGGAAAATCCTCGGAGAGAGGGAAAATCCCCCTGGAGAGAGGGAAAATCCCCCTGGGAGAGAGGGAAAATCCACTGGGAGAGAGGGAAAATCCACTGGGAAAGAGGGAAAATCCAATGGGAGAGAGGGAAAATCCACTGGGAATGAGGGAAAATCCCCCTGGAGAGAGGGAAATTCCAAGAGAGGGAAAATCCACTGGGAAAGAGGGAAAATCCAATGGGAGAGAGGGAAAATCCACTGGGAATGAGGGAAAATCCCCCTGGAGAGAGGGAAATTCCAATGGGAGAGAGGGAAAATCCCCTGGGAGAGAGGGAAAATCCCCCTGGAGGGAGGAAAAATCCACTGGGAGAGGGAAAATCCAATGGGAGAGAGGGAAAATCCACTGGGAGAGAGGGAAAATCCAGTGGGAGAGAGGGAAAATCCAGTGGGAGAGAGGGAAAATCCCCTGGGAGAGAGGGAAAATCCTCCAGGAAAGAGGGAAAATCCAATGGGAGAGAGGGAAAATCCCCCTGGAGAGAGGGAGAATCCTCCTGGGAGAGAGGGAAAATCCACTGGGAAAGAGGGAAAATCCTCCAGGAGAGAGGGAAAATCCAATGGGAGAGAGGGAAAATCCAATGGGAGAGAGGGAAAATCCCCCTGGAGAGAGGGAAAATCCACTGGGAGAGAGGGAAAATCCACTGGGAGAGAGGGAAAATCCACTAGGAAAGAGGGAAAATCCAATGGGAGAGAGGGAAAATCCAATGGGAGAGAGGGAAAATCCACTGGGAAAGAGGGAAAATCCAATGGGAGAGAGGGAAAATCCCCCTGGATAGAGGGAAAATCCAGTGGGAGAGAGGGAAAATCCACTGGGAGAGAGGGAAAATCCCCCTGGAGAGAGGGAAAATCCCCCTGGAGAGAGGGAAAATCCACTGGGAAAGAGGGAAAATCCACTGGGAGAGAGGGAAAATCCCCCTGGAGAGAGGGAAAATCCTCCAGGAGAGAGAGAAAATCACCTGGGAGAGAGGGAAAATCCACTGGGCGAGAGGGAAAATCCAATGGGAGAGAGGGAAAATCCCCCTGGAGAGAGGGAAAATCCACTGGGAGAGAGGGAAAATCCACTGGGAAAGAGGGAAAATCCCCCTGGAAAGAGAGAAAATCCTCCAGGAGAGAGGGAAAATTCCCTGGGAGAGAGGGAAAATTCCCTGGAAGAGAAGGAAAATCACCCGGGAAAGAGGGAAAATCACCAGGAGAGAGGGAAAATCCCTCAGGAGAGAGGGAAAATCCCCCTGGAGAGAGGGAAAATTCCCCAGGAAAGAGGTAAAATCCCTCAGAAATCCCCCCCTGGAGAGAGGGAAGATCCCAGGAAAAGAGGGAAAATCCCTCAGAAATTCTCCCCAGGAAAGAGAGAAAATCCTTCAGGAAAGAGAGAAAATCCCAGGAAAAGAGGGAAAAACCCACCAGGAGGGAGGGAAAAATCCCAGGAAAAGAGGGAAAACCCCCGGAAAAAGGGAAAACACTCCCTAGGAGAGGGGAGAAATCCCTCAGAAATCCCCTCAGGAAAGAGGGAAAACCCCAGGAAAAGAGAGAAAATCCCTCCAAGAAAGAGGGAAATCCTGAACTGCAGAGAAAAATCAGATCTGTCAACCTGGAATTGAGAGAAAGGAGGGGAATAAGTCCAGAAAAACGGGATTTGGGGAGCTCCACATCCCGAATTTTGGCTGTTTGGGGTGGGAGAGGCTCTGGGAGCAGCTCTGGAGTCGCTTTGGCCGTTGCAGCTCCTGGAAATGTCGTTCAACTGCCTGGAGGACGTGGAGAGCAGCGTCCCCGTCAGCCCTTTGCACTTAGCTGTGAGTGCCTGCAGGTCCTGCAAGGGCCTGGGGGGTCCCAGGAGGGTCCTGGAAGGGTCTTGGGAGGGTTCTGGAAGGGTTTCCAGAATGTTCTGGGCTCCTGCAGGTCCTGCAAGGGCCTGGGGGGTCCCAGGAGGGTCCTGGAAGGGTTCTGGAAGGGTTCTGGGGGTGTTGGGAGGGTCCTGGAAGCGTCCCCGTCAGCCCTTTGCACTTAGCTGTGAGTGCCTGCAGGTCCTGCAAGGGCCTGGGGGGTCCCAGGAGGGTCCTGGAAGGGTCTTGGGAGGGTTCTGGAAGGGTTTCCAGAATGTTCTGGGCTCCTGCAGGTCCTGCAAGGGCCTGGGGGGTCCCAGGAGGGTCCTGGAAGGGTTCTGGAAGGGTTCTGGGGGTGTTGGGAGGGTCCTGGAAGGGTCCTGGAAGGGTTCTGGCAGTGTTGGGAGGGTCCTGGGAGGGTTCTGGAGGGGTTCTGGGGGTGTTGGGATGGTCTGGGGGTCCTGAGAGGGTCCTGGAAAGGTTTCCAGAATGTTCTGGGCTCCTGCAGGTCCTGGAAGGCCTCTCGGGTTGTCCTGGGATTGTCTTTGGTTCTTCCTGGGAGGTTCTGGGGGTGCTGGGAGGGTCCTGGAAGGGTTCTGGGGCTGCTGGAAGGGTTCTGGTGGTGCTGGGAGGGTCCTGGAAGGGTTCTGGGGGTACTGGGAGGGTCCTGGAAGAGTTCTGGTTGTTCTGGAAGGGTTCTGGTGGTGCTGGGAGGGCCCTGGAAAGGTTCTGGGGTTGTTCTGGGAAGGTTCTGGAAGGATTCTGGGGCTCCTGGAAGGGCTCTGGGGGAGACATTTCTGGGAGGGTCATTTTTGAGTGCCTGGGGGACAGTTTTGGATGCCTGGGGGACACTCTGGATGTCTTGGGGACACTCTGGATGCCTGGGGGACATTTCTGGGTGCCTTGGGGACATTTTTGGATACGTGAAGGACCCTCTGGCTACCCAAAGGACACTTTGTGTGCCTGGGGGACACATTTTTGGGTACCTGGCTGTCCCTCTGGGTACCTGGGTGACACTCTGGGTGCCTGGGGGACACATTTTTGTGCCTGGGGGACGTTTTTGGATACCTGGGTGACACTTCGTGTGCCTGGGGGACCCTCTGTGTGCCTGGGGGACGTTTTTGGACACCTGGCTGTCCCTCTGGGTGCCTGGGTGACACTCTAGGTGCCTGGGGGGACACATTTTTGGATACCGGGGGGACACTCTGGATACCTGGGGGACACACTGTGTGCCTGGGTGACATTTTTGGATACCTGGGTGACACTCTGGGTGCCTGGGTGACATTTTTGGACACCTGGCTGTCCCTCTGTTTGCCTGGATGACACTCTGGATACCTGGGTGACCCTCTGTGTGCCTGGGTGACATTTTTGGATACCCAAGGGACACTCTGGGTGCCTGGGGGACACTCTGTGTGCCTGGGACACATTTTTGGATACCTGGGTGACACTCTTTGTGCCTGGGTGACACTCTGTGTGCCTGGGTGACATTTTTGGACACCTGGCTGTCCCTCTGTTTGCCTGGATGACACTCTGGGTACCTGGGAGACCCTCTGTGTGCCTGGGGGACATTTCTGGACACCTGTCTGTCCCTCTGCCTGTCCCCTGGGTGTCCCATCCTGTCCCCACCATGCCCACAGGCCTACAACGGTCACTGTGAAGCGCTGAAGGCGCTGGCCGAGACTCTGGTGAACCTGGACGTGCGGGACCACAAGGGCCGCACCGCGCTCTACCTGGCCACGGAGCGCGGCTCCAGCGAGTGCGTGCAGGTGCTCACCAGCCACGGCGCCTCCGCCCTGCTCAAGGAGAGGAAGAGGAAGTGGACGCCTCTCCACGCTGCAGGTGAGCCCCAGCCCAAACCTGCGGGGTCAGCTCCTTCCTGTCCCTGCGCTGCGGTGTTCTGACTTTCCTTGTGCTGCTTTTCCTCGCCCCTGTTTGACTTGTGCTGTTTGTCCTCGTCCCTCTTTTCCTTGTTCCTCTTTTCCTTATCCCATTTGTCCTCATCCCATTTGTCCTCATCCCTCTTCTCCTCACTCCTCTTTTCCTTATCCACCTTCTCATCCCTCTTTTCCTTGTCCCTCTTTTCCTTGTTCCTCTCTTCCTTATCCCATTTGTCCTCATCCCTCTTCTCCTCACCCCTGTTTTCCTTATCTATCTTCTCATCCCTCTTTTCCTCATCCCTCTTTTCCTTATCCCTCTTTTCCTCATCTATCTTCTCATCCCTCTTTTCCTTATCCCTCTTTTCCTTATCTATCTTCTCATCCCTCTTTTCCTTGTCCCTCTTTTCCTTGTTCCTCTTTTATTTGTCCCATTTGTCCTCATCCCTCTTCTCCTCACTCCTGTTTTCCTTATCCACCTTCTCATCCCTCTTTTCCCTGTCCCTCTTTTCTTTGTTCCTCTTTTCCTCGTCCCTCTTTTCCTTGTTCCTCTTTTCCTTATCCCATTTGTCCTCATCCCATTTGTCCTCATCCCTTTTGTCCTCATCCCATTTGTCCTCATCCCTCTTTTCCTTATCCCATTTGTCCTCATCCCATTTGTCCTCATCCCTCTTCTCCTCACTCCTGTTTTCCTTATCCACCTTCTCATCCCTCTTTTCCTCGTCCCTCTTTTCCTTATCCCTCTTTTCCTTATCTATCTTCTCATCCCTCTTGTCCTCGTCCCTCTTTTCCTTATCCCTCTTTTCCTTATCTATCTTCTCATCCCTCTTTTCCTTGTCCCTCTTTTCCTTGTTCCTCTTTTATTTGTCCCATTTGTCCTCATCCCTCTTCTCCTCACTCCTGTTTTCCTTATCCACCTTCTCATCCCTCTTTTCCTCATCCCTCTTTTCCCTGTCCCTCTTTTCTTTGTTCCTCTTTTCCTCGTCCCTCTTTTCCTTATCCCTGTTTTCCTTATCTATCTTCTCATCCCTCTTTTCCTCATCCCTCTTTTCCTTATCCCTCTTTTCCTTATCTATCTTCTCATCCCTCTTTTCCTCATCTTTTCCTCTTTCCTCTTCTCTTTATCCCATTTGTCCTCATCCCTCTTTTCCTTGTTCCTCTTTTCCTTGTCCCTGTTTTCCTTATGCCATTTGTCCTTATCCCACTTTTTCTCATCCCTCTCTTCCTCATCCATCTTCTCCTCATCCCTTTTTTCCGTATTCCATTTGTCCCCATCCGTCTTTTCCTTGTCACTCTTCTTCCTCCCTCTTTTCCTCATCCCTCTCTTCCTCATCCCTCTTTTCCTTGTTCCTCTTTTTCTCATCCCTCTTTTCCTCATCCCTCTTTTCCTCATCCCTCTTTTTTCATCCCTGATTTCCTCATCCCTTTTCCTCATCCTTCTTTTCTTCATCCCATTTATTCTCATCCCTCTTTTCCTCATCCCTCTTTTCCTCATCCCTCTTTTTTCATCCCTCTTTTCTTTGTTTCTCTTTTTTCATCCCTCATTTCCTCATCCCTTCTCCTCATCCTTCTTTTCCTCATCCCATTCTCATCCCTCATTTCCTCATCCCTCTTTTCCTCATCCCTATTTCCTAACTCCTCTTTCCCTTACCTCTCATTTCCTCATCCCACTTTTTCTCATCCATCATTTCCTCATCCCTTTTCCTCATCCCATTCTCATCCCTCATTTCCTCCTCCCTCATTTCCTCCTCCCATTTTTCCTCCTCCCTCATTTCCTCATCCCTCATTTCCTCCTCCCATTTTTCCTCCTCCCATTTTTCCTCCTCCCATTTTTCCTCCTCCCTCATTTCCTCCTCCCTCATTTCCTCATCCCTCATTTCCTCCTCCTATTTTTCCTCCTCCCATTTTTCCTCCTCCCATTTTTCCTCCTCCCTCGTTTCCTCCTCCCTCATTTCCTCCTCCCATTTTTCCTCCTCCCTCATTTCCTCCTCCCATTTTTCCTCCTCCCTCATTTCCTCCTCCCTCATTTCCTCCTCCCATTTTTCCTCCTCCCATTTTTCCTCCTCCCATTTTTCCTCTTCCCTCATTTCCTCCTCCCTCATTTCCTCCTCCCATTTTTCCTCCTCCCCATTTCCCGCTCCCCCCGTCCAGCTGCCAACGGGAACACGGATTCCCTGCACCTCCTGATCGACAGCGGCGAGCGTGCCGACATCACCGACGTCATGGACATCCACGGCCAGTGAGTGTCACTGCGGGATCGGGGAGGGAATTGGGATGGGAATTCCCAGATGAGAGATTGGGATGGGCTGGGAGAGATCCCACAGCGAGCTCCAGGGCAGGCTGGAATTTGGGGTGTTTAGTGAGTGAGTTGGATTTGATACTGATAAAATAATCAGGGTGATGAGAGAGAGAAAATGCGGCTTCTCCTCGCTCTTCCCAGCCCTTCCTCCTTCCCAAGGGAGCAGGGAGATGGAATGGGCTGTGCTGGGTTCATCCCACATTCCCTGGGCAGGTTCCTGCTCAAATGTCTGATCCCAGAGGTGTCACCACCATTCCTGATAATCCCTCACCACCATTCCTGATTGTCCCTCACCATGATTCCTGATTATCCCTCAGCATTCCAAATTATCCCTCACTACCATTCCTGATTGTCCCTCCCCACCATTCCTGATTATCCCTCACCACCATTCCTGATTGTCCCTCACCACCATTCCCAATTATCCCACACCAGCATTCCCAATTATCCCTCACCATGATTCCTGATTATCCCTCACCACCATTCCCGATTATCCCTCGCCATTCCCAATTATCCCTCACCATTCCCAATTATCCCTCATCACCATTCCCGATTATCCCTCACCATTCCCGATTATCCCTCACCACCATTCCCAATTATCCCTCACCACCATTCCCAGTTATTCCTCACCACCATTCCCGATTATCCCTCATCACCATTCCCGATTATCCCTCACCACCATTCCCAATTATCCCTCACCACCATTCCCAATTATCCCTCACCATTCCCAATTATCCCTCGCCATTCCCAATTATCCCTCACCACCATTCCCAATTATCCCTCGCCATTCCCAATTATCCCTCGCCATTCCTGTGTCCGCCGATCCCGATTACCCCAGAAGCAGAACCGCAATCCCAACCAGCCTCTGCTGGCCGAGGGGGTGACGCTTCCAGCCGCTCCCAACACCTTCCCAGGCTGTTGCTGGGAGCAGCATTCCCGGGGAATCCTGGAATTCTGCAGCCAGCCCCTTTTCCCGGCGGCAGGACCCCGCTGATGCTGGCCATCATGAACGGCCACGTGGACTGCGTCCACCTCCTGCTGGAGAAGGGATCCACGGCCGACGCCGCCGACAAGAGGGGCCGCACCGCGCTGCACCGAGGGGTGAGGAGACAAAAAAAACCCCCAAATTTCCCTTCTGGAGATGTGGAATTAGGGGGGAAAAACGGGGAAAAAGGCCAGAAATGTGCTGTTGTGTTGGACAGCGCTCTCCTTTAATAGGGAAATTAATAGGGAAGTAGGATAAGGTTTATTTTCACGTCTGAAATTTAATTTTTTGAGGGTGCAGCTCTCACTGCTTTGTTTT